CATTCTCCTTCCCAATTCCGTCCACCACAACCTAAACTTGCTCTTCTGAGTTCAGACTTCTAAGGCATGTTTTGACACACTTTACCCTTTTCCCTTCTCTGGTCCTTGGCCTCTTTTTGTCCTCCTTTTTGTCCTCTCCTGCCTCTTCTTCACCCTGTGAGGTTGTTGGCACTCTAACTTTGTACCTACTAAGCTTCCTGCTGGGTGTTTAACCTGCACAGGTGGGATTTAAAGCAGCAAAATTGCTGCAAAAATTCTGTAATCAATGTTCAGTCATGTTCATCAACTAGAGGCATTAATCTCCTCCTCCTGACTGAGTCACGGTTAGCTGCCTTGTTTTGTGGGGTGGCCATTTTCTCTTTCTCCCCTGGTCACCTAAAGTCACTTCATTGCTGGCATCTGAGTTACAGAAGTTCAACTGCAGGAAAGAGGGAGACAGGCAATCAGAAGCATGTCAACTGTGTGAATACAGTAACAGAAGTCTGGGCACAGTACCAGGTAGCAGAGAGGAGGGAGAGGCCAACACATTCGGGGAAGCATGATTCAGAGGTTTCTTGAAGCAGTTAACACTTTGAGTCGGGTTTGAAGGATGAGGATGAGTTTCTCAGGTGGTCAAAGTTAGGGGACTGGGGGCAAAAATTCCAGACAAGGAGACCAGGATGTGCAAAGACACCCTTGAAAGCAGAAGGAGCAAATTGGCGACTGATAGGCCTAATTTCACCCACAAATGTTTTGATCAGTCTACACAAGTATGTTTAATGCAGTTTAGCAGCCAACATTTAACACTTGGAAACTTTCCATAAATATACACATTTTTTACTTCTTTAAAAAAAAACAGAAGGTCTAGCAACTCTAGGCCAGCTTTTTCTCATCAACTGCAACCCTTAAACAGTATTTTAGATGAAGTATGTACCCTTCAGTTTGCCACAGTCCCTACCACTCTACACTCCTTATTATCTATCCTCAAGCAGCACAGTTATATTATTGACCCTTGAGTTGGCATCTCTGCTTTATATTCTTCAAAAGATCAGCAGCAAATCCATCCAGCCTAGAAACATTTTGCCTCTTTCAGCAATTTAATCATAACACTGATATTGTTGTTTCTTCTTGTCAGACTCTTGTGTCTTCTGTGCATCTCTGACAAACTTTTCCACTTTTGAGACAATGCATTTTAGCTACTATAAAGTTATCAGAGGCCAGGTGTGGTGGCTCATGCCTGTAATCCCAGCACTTTGGGAGGCCAAAGCAGGAGGACTGCTTGAGCCCAGGAGTTTGAGACCAGCCTGGACAACATGGTGAGACCCTGTCTCTACAAAAAAAATAAAAAATAAAAAAATTAGCTGAGTTTGGTGGTGCATACCTGTAGTCCCAGCTACTTGGGAGGCTGAGGCAGGAGGATCACTTGAGTTCAGAAGTTTGAGGCTGCAGTGACCCAAGATCACACCACGTCACTCCAGTCTGGGTGACAGAGTGAAACCTCAACTAAAAAAGAAAAAAACAGTAAAAAAAATAAAGTTATCAGAAAAGTGTTCTTTCCGTTTACATCCTCAATCTCTACTTTTTCCTTGAAAATAAGTCATTTTGGCAAGGCATGTCCCAGATTGCCTCCATGTGTATTGAAACAAGGATCCTCAAATCCCAAACTCCCATGGATGGACTCTAAATATTTGGCTGTGCGGGTCATTTTGCTCCAAGAAGCAGATGACGCTGCGGTAAGAAAAGCCATAGCTCCTTGAGACAGTTTTCCATTTTGCATCTTTAAGGATACAAATGATTTTTTAGCAATCCCTCTAACATGGCTGTGCCTTTTCCCTGAACCAGCATGGATTCTTCTGTCTGACCCTCAGAGCACTTGACACAAGGTAACAATACCTACCTCATAGCCAGGGTTCTGATTCTGACACGTATTTCCCAAATCACACCCATAATCCATTGGCTCCTTTTCCTGGAACTATCAGCCCGACATAACGTTATATCAGCTCAGTTACACAACAATGCCTTTATCTAATGTTTCATTATCTTCAGAAATGTCAGAAATGGGAGAGACAAGCTTGGGCTCCTCCCACACCATTAAAGGCAAGCCTTGACAGGCTGTAAGCAGCTCTCTGGGGGTGGGGAGGGGTGTACCCTGTCCGTCCTGCAGGGCCCAAGCATGAGCAAGCTCTCCCAGCTCTCCTGGAATTCCCAGGATCAACCCGAGGCCTGTGATCATTGGCGGGGCAGTATTCCAAATAGAATGGCAGCACAGCACTTTCTAGGTATTTCTTCAGCATAACTGACGACAGTGGTCACAATACAAGTTGTCAAGCCATTCAGTTAGTGTGCTTTTTGCATGGTGTTCAAATCAAGCACTGAACACAACCCCAAAAAGCAACAGAGGGCATTTCATGAGAAGTTCATGGTTATTACAAAAAATTCCCTGTCCTTTATTCCTTCTTGTATCTGTTTTCAATTATTTTTAAAATTATTTCCTCGTCTAAAGGTCAAACCACAGTCAAAATGAAAGCCATAAAATAGGTTTTCGACATCCAACATCTTTTCTTTTGGTATTTTCCTTTGGCTCAGACAGTAACCACTCTTGTCAAGAAAAAAATTAAAAGTGCGTCATATCCGTCGAAGAAGTCAGGAAGCCGTTTCCAGGCCCCACACAGACAACACATCTGGTGCCTAGTTTTCACATCTGTGGCCTTTTACATCAGTGGGCAACCTCATTCCATGATCTGCCAACCTGACCAGCTTCTCCCAGAGCTGAGTGATGAGGGTCACAGGGTCACAATTACCGTCATGGGGCGAGGAAAAGAACACACATCAAGAGTCCCAGGCTCTACGTCAAGTTCCTTCACTTTCTAGTTGATTGCCCTTAAGAAAGTCATTTTACCTTTCTGGGGCTGTTTCTACTCTGTGCTAAGTCAAACCACAAGTTTCTTTGATCCACACATTGCAAACTGGCTGGTTGCTGCCAAATATATCCCACATCAAATGTCTTGCTTGGCCCACTAAGGATGTTTTTAATTGGTAAATAATAAATGAAAATCCAAATTTCCAGCTCTTAAAAAATACAAAAATGGGCAGCAGTGACCCAACATCTCAGTTGAAAGCTGATTAAGACTGCCCACTCTAGGGGGAGCATGTACTTTACAGTTCACCACAGTCCTCACCTCTCCCTATTGTCTTGCACTAGCTGCTTTGCTCATTTATACACGCTACTGGACATATTAGGCATAGGATTTTGCTACCTTGTTTCGGCCCTTTGTCTGCTGGGGTTTCTAGAAGCTCACCACCTAGCCATCTTCTTCTGAATCTGCTTTAATCTTTCAAGGTTATTCTTATAATGTGAAGCAAAAAATAAAGTCATTTCTCCAGATGTCTTTAATAGTAAAAGGCCCACGTCATAGTGTTGGCTCATACTGGGCTTGTGAGCAATTAAAACCCCAGGTCTCCCTCAGTGAAGCTGAGTACCAAACATGGTCTGCACTGGCCTGTGATTTCTTTTTTTTAAGTCGGGGTTTGACTTGAGTAAAGATCTCTGCTGCCCAGGCTAGAATTCAGTGACACAACCACAGCTTACCACAGCTTTGATTTCCTGGGTTCTGGGTTCAGCCAATCCTTCTGCATCAGCCTCCCAAGTAGCTGGGACTATAGGTGTGTACCACCACTACTCCTTGCTTTTTTTTTTTTTTTTTTTTTTTTGTAGAGATGAGGTCTCACACTTTATTACCCAGGCTGGTCTTGAATGCCTGGGCTCAAGTAATTCTCCCACCTCTGCCTTCCAAAGTGCTGGAATTACAAGCATGAATTACTCCACTGTGCCTGACCAGATTTTTTTAAATGATAATCTACAGTTCTGGCCTGAATTTCTATATATCTCATAGGGATTTTGTGGTTATCAATTATACCATAGTATGAAATCATCAAAAGCTTCAAAATAAAGCCTTCAGTATAAAATACTTTATCATTTAAATATACAGACTAAGCCGGGCTCAGTGGCTCAGCCTGTAATCCCACGCTTGAGAGGCTGAGGTGAGTGGATTGCCTGAGCCCGCGAGTTCGAGACCCGCCTGGGCAACTTGGCAAGACCTCATCTCTACAATAAATCAAAAAATTAGCCGGGCGTGGTAGCACACTTCTATAGTTCCAGCTAATTGAAAGGTTGAGGAGGTATGATTGCCTGAGCCCAGCAGGTTGACACTGAGGTGGACATGAGCGTGCCACTGCACTCCAGCCTGGGTGACAGAGTGAGACTCTGACTAAATAAATAAATAAATAAACAAACAAACAGACTGTACACTTACAAGGAGAATGTCTCCTGCAGTAAATGCATTTTCTGATTTTTATTTATCCCGTTTTTGTTTTAGTTTTAAATTTTTTAAATATGCCTTCTAAAGTATGTTAAAACTGAATAATGATGCTAATCAGATGTTACTTTGCTGAGAGATACCTTATCAGTAGCACCTCGTAATCAAGAGCAACCTATAAACCATATCACCCACTCTCTTTCTAGATTCTGTATCAACCGAGTTGATACTTTGCCTCATTCTATACCAAGGGGATACATTTCACTTGTACTTGGCTTACACATTCTGCCTACAGATAACCCGGTACTAAAAGCAACACCACGCAGGCTTGTTCTTCACAAGATATATGTAAACCATACCCCTGGTTTTGAATTCTCTCCTACTTTTTTAGATTTTTGTATTTTTTTATATTCCTATGTTAGAAATAAATGACTGTGGATCACTTTCAGAACAGATTGTTTTCCAGAAGCGATCCTCATATATGTATGGCTAATATAAAAATATTTTGAAAATATAAAAATACCAAAAAAATTAGAATGCAGATGCAAACTGAAATGCCAAAAAATTAGTCCGAACTAATGCCCCCTCCCTCCAGGTTGTTTGCAGGACAAGCAGAAGTAATCACTTGGCTGGGCAGAGGGTTGGGACCCCTGTGTCTCTCTCTCTCTTTGGTCCTCTCATGTCTTTCTCTCCTTTGTGTTTAAGATCGGAGCTCAGTGCTACCTGGAGTGCTCGGCCCTGACTCAGAAAGGCCTCAAAGCAGTTTTCGATGAAGCGATCCTCACCATTTTCCACCCCAAGAAAAAGAAGCAGTGCTGCTCTGAGGGTCACAGCTGCTGTTCGATTATCTGAGGTTGCTGGAGACCTGCCTGCACCCCATGGAAGGGAGAGAACAGCAGTCCAGCTCTCTCACCAAGCTCCTGCCAAACAGGAGGGCATGACCAGCAAGGACTTTTCTTCCCACTGAGGCTCGTCCCATCCACCCTGGGAGCTCGGCCACGCACCGCTGCCACACCCTCCCTGCCAGCCAGAAGCATCCCACTGCACACTCTCCAGCGAGGTTGGGCCCAGGGTTCAGACACTGCGGCTGCTGAACATGAGGGAAACAAAGCCAAAGGCCATCTTGCATTTTATACCTCCCAGCCCGTGAACATGAAGCTGATGGCGATCACGACGGGAAAGCCGAAAGAGGAACACAGTGCCTGTCCTTGACGGTGGCCTTACTTGATGCCTTTCACAAAACCTAGAACTGCAATACTAATCTTTTTTTTTTTTCTGAGTTTGCTATTCTGCCCATGTGTCTCACATTCGTTTGTATTATTCCAAGAAATTTACTAACTCCCAGTTTACCCAGACCTTACAAATCCATACCAAATTAGCCTAAAGACAAGGTGTTTTATGGTCAGTCATTTCTATTTTCAGCATGTTTCTACCAAAGCTGTTAGAACCAACACATACCTCTGAATGCCTGGTTACAGGAAGACACGAGAAAACTTTAAAACTTCTGGAAACCTCCAGAGTCATGATTTTTGAACCTGATTGAAAGAAAACACCATCTGAACTGTTGTAGGTCCACATTTGCGACAAAGGTTCGCTCTACACAGGCTTACGTTGATAACAGGCTTGCTTTTTTCCGTATTATATTGCCATGGCAAACTAAAAATGAGCTGTAGCAAACATGAAAGTAGTATTTCCGCTTTTCATCCAAATTGACTGAGGGAAGAATATGGCAGGACCCGGCTTTTCAAATGTTCTGTATCCAGCCAAGTGAACTTTACTGCGTCCTCCCTGCCCCAGGCCATGCCCTTTCCTCCCTGACCTCACAGGTTCTCTCACGCTCAGATCCTTTTGTTCTCCCCAGATAGAACCTGAACTAAAAGAAGGATCCGGCCAATGGGCAGGAAAAAGCAAATGTTTAAAAATACCTAAAAGTAAAGTATAAGTGCCTCGATTTTTCTACTTGCTTCAACTGAAAGTGCTCCTCAGCTTGGCTCACATAAACTCCCATCTCACTGAAGTGACTTTTTCCCGTCACAGCTGATACCACAGCATTGCCTCTCTCCTTCCTCATTCATCCTCCCAAATGTCTGTTTAGAAGCCAGACCCGTGGGTATCACGCCCTGGATCCGGTTGTCCCCTGCCTTCCAGAAGGATGTGCTCCATAGAACAGGGACTTTGATCCTGGGGAAGCAAAAGTTCCCAGGAGGGAATCATGTGCCCAGTCATGTGCAACAGTTCCAAACATCCGGGAATTCTTGTATCGTGGAGGGAGGGAGTTCCTTCCTTTTCATTAGAGGCGATGGGGGTTTCTAGTTAGTCTTATTTGCTTACAAATGCTCTGGAACCATCCAGGTAGGCACTTAAGTTCTTATTTAATTGCATAAGCAAAATGCATCTTTGCAATATGAAATTACACCAACTTTAGTTTAAGACTTTCCAGATTCAAGCTCCCTCTTTTGGAAAAAGCCAGTCTTTCTAGTCCCTTCTGCTAGTGAAGGAAGCTCAGAAGAAAAGAATCCCTGTGCTATGGATCTTCTTCTGTTAAGACTTCCATGACAACCCTTCAACTTGGAGGTGTTTGTTTGTTAGAAATTTCTGAAAAGTGTTTTCCTTCTACACTGCAAGTACTATTTCCCTTCTTTCCTAATTGCTAAATAATCTCTTAAATACACACACACTCCACCTAAAAGAAAAACGGGAGTTTTGTAAGTCAAAGCTTGACATTTAGAGAAAACAAGGACTTTCTGCCTTTGTAAATGGAAATCAACTGTGTATGAACTATAACTCTACAAAGGTTATGAATTCATCCTTTATGAACAGTAATGAGCATTTAACCCTGTAATAAATGAAGTGCTATTAGCCAGTTTTGTTACATTGTTGCATAGTTACATCTTGCTAAAGAGCCACTTCCCATTGATGTGAATAAAAAATGGAGAGCAGTTTGTTTCCAGATGTGTGCACTCAACAAGCAAATAGCTCCCCAGGTCATCACCTCCCTAATGGGCCACAGGGATGAACTTGTTCACAGAGGGAAGATCACTCTCTTGCCTAAAACCCGAAACTGGATAGAGACTGTTAGGGTCTGGATGGAGGAGCACAGGCTCCCAGAGGTCTCAGGAGCTAATTAAATAAAATAAAACAATGTGAAACAAAGCAACCTAAATTAGTGAATGCCATTCTACCAAATTAATCATTTATTCCTTGTTTCATGGCAAGATCTAGTTTGTTTCACTAAGAAGTGTTTTCTGCCATAAGATGGAATAAAACTATGTCCTGAAATCAAAGATCAGAAGAGACATACGGGTTTTTTCTTTTCTTTTTTCTTTGTTTGTGTGTGTGTGTGTGTGTGTGTGTGTGTGTGTGTGTGTGTGTGTGTGTGTGAGAGAGAGAGAGAGAGAGAGAGAGAGAGAGAGTTGGAATCTCACTCTGTCACTCAGGCTGGAGTGCGGTGGCATAATCACAGCTCACGACAACCTCCACCTCCTAGATTCAGTTGATCCTTCCATCTCAGCCTCCCAAGTAGCTGAGATTACAGGCACACACCACTATACTCCACTGTAAGGTAAACGAAACCAGACCAGGCGAAACAGCAACAAAGGAGCCAAGAAAAATTTATTAGCACAGTCCTGGGCGCGGTTCACCGGTCCATGTAGCTGTGGGTCGGAGAAGTCGCACCCAGCAAGATGGGCGACGGGTTTATAAAGGACACATTGAGAAAGCTGTGAGGGAGTCGGGGAGAGCAATCACTGTTTGGGACAGCTGTCACTTCTGCTGGCGATTGGCTGAACGGAGTTGCTAGAGTTGCTGTAACAGGTACTGGCTGGCTTTGCGGCTGGAGTCTCAGTTCCGGTTACTCATTTTTGCTGGCTCACTCTCGCCCATTGCTCTCCTGGTCCGGGTTGGAGCTATCTTGTTGAGGCCCGCCTTGCCCTCCGGTACCTCGGGCCTTACATTCCAGCCTTTTGGTCATAGGGGAGCCGGCTCATTCTAGCTACTTCCTGCTGTGGAGGGGCGACGTGGGGGGGGAGTCTTAAGGCTGGTATGGGGCCAGAGGTGGTTCAGACGGAAGGGGCAAGTATGAATGTAACAGTAGTTGGTTGACCGTTATTCGAGAGAGCTCTGCCAGGCGCTGTTGGAGAAACCTAAAAACACACGGGGCCACTGACAAGAGGATAAATACAACAATCACTGGAGTCAGAACAGGGAGAAGCCACGTTAGGAGCTGGGGTTGCCACCACCTTGAGAATGGGCCTCCGGTCAGGTCTTCTCTCTGTTTTTGGAGGTTTTCTTGTCATTGTTTAATTCTGTCCTTGACTATCGCTGATTTATTGGCATAGAAGCAGCATTCCTCCCTAAGAAATAGGCATGTCCCTCCCTCTTTCACTGTTAGCAAGTCTAGTCTCCATTGATTCTGGAGGACCATGTCAGCCAGGGAATCGAGTTGTGTTTGTAAGTCTACGACCGTGTCCACCACTTGTATGTCCTCGATCAGTTGGGAGGAGAGCTGTTTGTAAAAGTGAAGTGAGGCCCAGCCCGGCTGCCACCATTTCCATGGCCGCGGTAATACCCAGCCCCGCCAGCAGAGGTATGAGCTCAACTGCCTGCCTTACCTGTGACGTTCAGGAACCAACCAAGGGGACAGGCAGGCTTTGGTTACCGGGTACTATTACAACGGTGGGGCAGAGGCACGCTGCGTCTCATCCAGGTCTGTTGTTTGGTTGGTCTGAGGCAGACTGAGGCTTGTTCATAGCAAGGTGCCTGGACAAAAGAATGGAAGGTTGAACACTCAGTGAGGCAAGGGGGTATCTTTCCTTGGGGATTTGGTGGGGGGTCTTGTTCCCAAGCAGCGGACTGTACCACTGCCACCTGGGCAGCCCGCTTGGAAATCTCTTAACATTACTGCAGCCCAGTACTTTTGTTTTCCTAGTTGGCACAAAATTTTTGATGATAGCATGTACGGGGAACCAGCTGGTAGAGTTGGGTTTTTCCTGTAGAGATGCATCGGTTGCAAGTCCAGTCAGCCATTCCCCATGTCATCGTAAAGTTATTGGTTAGGCTTACTAGCATCAATACGGTTAAACTGTAACTGGAGGAGTTCCACCTCATTAGATTTCAACACTTCATTGTTGGGAGGGGCCTGCTTAAGTCGAGAAATGTGGTACCACGAGGGGTGTCCTAACAGTTTAGCCATGGTAGGAGTTGTAAGGACTACTATGTAAGGTCCCATCCAGCAAGGTTGAAGGGACCGGGGTTGGAGCTCTCGAAGGAGAACCTCATCACCAGGCTGTAGAATGACGGCTGCCCGTGGGTCAGACGTGGAGTTGGCCTGGGGCAGAGTTTGGTCGGTGTGCTCTCATAGGAGGCGTCTGAGGAGTGAGAGGTAGGGCAGGTAGGAGGCTAGTGGCGGAGGAGTTGTAGGAAGGCTGGTTAATGAGAAAAGGCCTACCATACATCAATTCAAATGGGCTAAGGCCGACCGGCCCCTGGGGAGCCGCACGCACCCTAGTGAGAGCAACAGGAAGCAGAGTGCGCCAGGAAAGTTTTACCTCCAGGGAAAGTTTGGTTAGTTGTCCTTCAGGAGGCCATTTGCCCATTCCACTTTACCCGAGGACTGAGGGCGGTAGGGGATGTGAAGTTTCCAGATGATGTTGAGGGCTTCGGCCACCAGCTGAGTGATTTTGGAAATGAATGCCGGGCCGTTGTCTGACTGGATGGACATCGGGAGGCTGAAGCAGGGATGATGTGCTCCACCAAGGTCTCAACCACCACCGAGGCTGTCTCCCGGCTCTTGGGAAAGGCCTCGATCCAACCTGAAAAGGTATCTACCATTACCAGCAGGTATCAGTACTTTTTGTGTCTTGGCATATGAGTGAAGTCCACCTGCCAGTCCTGTCCATGGAGACACTCTTGCAGCTGGTGGGCTGTTGTCGGCGCCGGAGGGCTCCTTGAAAGGAAACATATGCACAGGTTTGACAGGCCATATGAACCTGGTTGATGGTTTCTCGGAGACCCTGCAGTGAGAAAATCGAGGAAAGAAACCTATGCACG